TAAGCTAAGTGCAAACACCTTGGTCAGAGCCTCCCTGGGTCAGGACAGAGACGCGGCCCAGGAAGGGCAAGAGATCCCAGGGTGTGGGAACGTCAGGACACGGATTTCTCAGCAGCACATTGTAAAAATCACAAGTCTGATGAGCTTTGCTCCCAGTCACTGCAGCTAGTCCTGAGCAACAGTTTCCTTTCTGCTCACTTAGAGCCTTTTTTTGATGAGCTTCTCCAGTTTCCGTATCCGCGAGGACTCCTGCTCGGGCGTCGGGGCGCCCAGCGAGAGAGGGCTGGAATTCTCTGCTCCCGAGGGAGGAGCCGGAAGGCGCTGGCGGAAGAGCTCCAGCATGCTGCTCTGCTCACTCCTCTTCAGGCCCTGCAGGGGCAAAGGGACAGTCAAGTAACTCGGTGTGCACAAGGACAGCTGCAGGAGAGCTCACTGCAAACCCCAACCTTTTCTTCACCCACCAACAGCGGCGTGTGCAGCTCTGGGTGATCCAGAGACAACCGAGCTCAGCCCTGGGAGCCAGAGCAGCTCTGAGCATGAGAAGTGAACTGAAAATCTCTTTTCCAGTAGCAACTCTACACACTTTCAGGGTAGAGAGGACACACTCACCTTAGAGTGCATGTCCCACCTCCAAACCCCTGCATACTTCTACTGAGAAAAGTCACCAACAATCTCAACACAGCACTAGTGGATGTCCCCATGGGACAGGTTCTAACCTTCATGTCAAGTATCTTCTGGAAGGTATCTGTGCTGCAGTCAGCAAGGAGTTTGATGTAATTGTCAACAAATACAACTGGGGGTTCATGTGGAGCCATCACCACCTGCCAAGACAAGACCAAAGAGATGACACAAATTCTAGGAGTTAAAGCTCAGTCAACTCAGGCACACGAGTCACAGCAGGACTGGCTTCTCCTAAAATAAAATGCTTAAGGAACAAGACAGAGGCTGTAGGTGCTGCTAGTAACTGAGAAGTGAGTGAGGAGCAGCAAAGTGAGGAGCAGCGATGAAGATGGGGTCTCTCCCTGCAGTGCTTGGACCTGAAGGGCTGCACATCATGTTCCAAAGAGCAGCAGGACTTTGTACACCAGGGGCTGGCAGGACCTGGCACAGCAGCAAAGCTCCAGATTTCATCTTGTTGCATGGGGGAAACTGGCTGGGGAGATGCCTGCTGGTGGCAGGGGGACACTTTGAAAGTCCCCAGCAGGTCAGGCAGCCTGGACGCAGTCCAAATCCACAGTTGGATTGTGTCCCTCCTGCTCCCTCCTGCCTGGAGTAGAGCAGGGTCAGCATCACAGGGGAAGGTGACAACACTGCAGTCACCCCCTCTGCCCCTAGGGCTGCACAGGTCAGAGCAATCTGCTTCTGACACATAACCTGATGGGTGAGTGGTGCCACATGAAGCTGCTCTGTCCTTTGGGTGCAGCTCTTCTTGTGAGCTTCTCTGGAGAGCCTGGGATGGAGGCTGTGAACCCCCTGCTGATGGCTTCCCTGGAGCTCACACCCTCTTAGTCCCAGCAACCGTCAAGTCAGGAAAAAAAATTAAAACAGCCTTGAAGCTGGAAAGGTGATTAGTCATTGTTACATTTTCCTTCCATAAGCAGAGAGCTCCATGGAGAACATATCCTTTGATAATGCTGGGCAGCCAAGCCATCTTCCTGGGGAAGCATGTGTGTGTGACTGTGTGCCTGCATGCAGGGCAGAAACAGCACAGGCCCAGACTCTTCCTTGTCTCTGAAAACGTTTCCATATGTTTCCACTGACCCAGCTCACCCCACACTGTATTCTGTCACTGAGACATTTCTTTCTTTCCCTGCACTTCAGACCAATGAAACATCATAGCCATGTATACACTTATAAATCCTTAATTTACAGCCCTTGTAAAAATCTTCTGCCAAGATGAAAAGCTGGAACTTCAGACGGCATAGCTGGAGGGGAAAGGAATCGGGTCTGTGGGATGTGCAGACCCTGACGCCCTCCCCCCTGGCATCTGTGCTTTGTAGGATGGAGCTGGATGAATTTGTCCATGCCATCCAGGAGCTCAGTGACACTCCTGCTGCCTGAGCTGCACTGCTGGCAGCCTGGGCATGCTTCTCCTGCACCCTGCACTCCCTGCATTGCTTCCATCTCCATCCCCATGCAGCCAATGGGATGTTAAGGGCAGACAAATGAACTCTGGTACTTTTCTGATTCACATGCAGGCTCCAAGGAAAGTCCTGCTTCTGTATGCAACTGGCACAGATCTTTCCCACTCCTCTGTCAGCAGTACCAGGGTGTTGTTCTTTAGGTCATTTGGAAGAAAATTTAGACTTGTTTTAACATGTCTACTAACATCCAAACCACCTTACCCCAAAAGCATGGACTTGCAGAGCTAATTTCTGAATTCAGAACACAAACTGGGCTGTGATGTTACCTTGGACAGGGGAGCAAAGCCACACTGAGCCACAGGCCAGCACAGAGGGCTCAGGCTCTGCACCCCCCTTGCCTTGGCTGAGGGTTACAGGGGGCTCTGGCTGGAAGCTGCCTGTCCTGCCTGAGCCCAGGCCCCACTAATTCACTCACAGGAACACCTTCACAGCATTGCTGGTGAGCAGGGTACAGCTGCACAGCTCCCATGGCTTCTCCTGGGATTAAACCTAACTTCTTAACTCCAGCAACAGAGGGGAGAGGGGAGATTGTTTTGCTTGTTACTTTCTATGAAGACAACACACTGCTTTTGGGTCATTTTCCAGGCATCAGATCTGGAAAATGAAAAAGGGCTCTGGTGAATACAGTAACCCAGACATGTTTGCACTGGCTATTACACTAGACAGTAAACAGGTGACTCAAGCACGACTTGGCTCCCCTGCACCACGGAGCCTACACAAAGGCCTGGAGTAACCTGAACTGGAGGGTCTGCCTTGCCACAGCCTCTTATGGATGCTAGCTCTGATTTTTACAAGCTCCTGAGGGAATCTGGTGCCCCAGCTCCCCTAGTAAGCAGAACCTGAGCCCTCGGTTACCTTGAAAAATGAGGATGAAAACTCAAATGTGATGTTAATAGTGTGGGGGCAAAACCAGTGCTGCAGAGCAGCTGGCAGCACATCCGGACAAGCTCCGTAGGTTCACGTGCAATTGCTGATTGCTGTGTTCAAAGGAAGGGCCCCCTGGAATTTGCTTGCTCTGATTCCCAGTCCAGCAGTCTGGCTGGCAGGTTATCAAAAGTCTTGAGTTACCTTCAGGATCATTTCAGCCCGAGTCATGCCTTTCACCACAATTTTTGTGTAGCTGGCAGGAGCCTTCCTCACCACTTGGGACCCAATGGAGGGCAGGTCCAGGAGAACCATCTTCAGAGAGTGAGTGTCCAGCAGCAGCTGCAAGAGTTAATCACATCCTGTTACTCGGGTCCCTTTTATGCAGCTCCACTAGCTGCTATAATCCAACCTCCTTAAAAGTTTAACACTTCCCACATTGGAAAATGTCCCAGTAGCTGGACTGCAGGAAGAGGAGGGACTGACCCACGTGATGACAGTTCAAGGAGACACAATCACCTATGGCCACAGATCAGCACCACTCCTTGATTTTAACAGAGCACTTGAAACAACTCATGGCAGCTCAATAACTGGCACAAGGTAGGGATTTCCAATCCTCTTCCTTGACAGCATAAAGTGAAACACTCTTGATTACCTGCAGCCATGTTGTTAGATTTTGAGGTCATGTGGATTATCACCACACTTCCTCCTGCACCCAGCCACCCATTCTGTCACAGCTTCTGCATTTACTCAACCACTTGATTTGTTTTGAAAACTGCAACACAACACAGCTCCACTGAGAGCTGCTCAACATCCTTTGCTCACAGGGACACTGATCTCACAGCCTGTACGTTGTTTTTTACTAGATCAGTGGATAAATAAGCAGCAGCTAAACTCTCTCCTGTCCAGTAGAAGTTCTGCACACTCTGCAGCCTGTCCCACAGAGGCAACATTGCAGGCTGTGTCCCTTCATCTATTTGCCCCTGCTACCCAATTCAGGTCCCTGGAATTGCTAACTCTCTGCCAAAGCTTCCCAAGATGGAGACTTGTTAAGTCAGACAGATACACACAACAAGTGAAACCTCACAGGTCTCGTTCCCTGTGCCGAAAACCTGTGTCCAGATTTCAAACATGATTATTAGTAAATAGCAGGAAAAGCTGTGTTTAGGACCAGGAACACCAGGAAAATGTATTCCACAGTAACATTTGCACCAGGGGAGAGAAACCAGCGTGGGAAGATGCAGACAGGTGACCAGGGGGGAGTTTAAAAGATGCTAAATCAACTGAGGACCCGTGGAGACAGAGAAGATCAGCTTGAAAAGACCTCTGGACATCTAACCCCAGGAAGGTGTGTCCCACTTAAAATGAGAAGTATTCACTGTGAACCAGGCTAATAAAAACCTTCCCAGCCTGCTTTGAAGAACTAAATTATTCCACTGCTGTAATATTAAAACCTTTTAACATCAGCCACAAGCCCACCACTGGCTGAAGTTAATCACTTCAGATGCTTATTTAAAATAAGACTTCATTTAATCACTCTCAGGTTATTGCTCATCACACAAGATGAGCAGGGACTGCACTTCACTCATTTGCTTTCCATTAAGAAAGAAGGTTTTGATGTAAAGCTCCTGTTTCATTTTGCAGAGACACTGATCAGAATCCAGCTTTGATGCCTAAAACCCAAGCAGCTTTTGAGGCACCAATTTGAAGTTCACAGCAACCCCATTACAGATGATTCTGCCTGGTTGTTTTGTTTTTTTTCATCAGCTCACAGGGGAGCAGCTGGATGTGCAGGGGACAGCTGAAAACCTTCCTCATCCAAACCTTAACCTCACAGAGTCACAGGGTCCCATCCTGCAGGGGAAGGAGGCAGAGTAGCAGCAGAGGGAAATGAAGTGATGACCTATTTTGTGAAATGGGATGGGACAGAAAAACAAGCCTGTCTGAGAAGAAAACAGGAGCTCCTTGCCATACTTTCTGCCACAAGGAACTTCCTTACCCTTTGTGTGATGTGAGCACACTGAAGACAATCTCATCACCACACCTTAGAGAGGTGTGTGAGGGGTTTGTTGTCCCTGTGTTGCTGTAACTTTGACTGGCAAAGTGACCACGTGTCACCATAAACCTGCTTCCCACTCTGCCCTGTACCAGAGCACATCCCTGCTGCCTCAGCTGTACCAGTAACTCAGCCTTCTGCCCCTTTTTACCAAAAACTGCCTTGACTTGTTGAACCCAAAAGTGATGAAATATCACAGCCAATGCAATTACTTGTTCTTACCTGCTCTGCACCCACCATGCTAATAGGTTTGCACTTGAAGAGATGGTTAATGAACTTGGGAATGAAGGAGCTGCAGAGAAGAGATAGAAAAACACAATTACATGCGACTATTTGGGGTCATACAGTCATCTGTGGTAACAAAGCAGGCAAAGCCAAACCAGGATGGGCTTCCCCAAAGACACTGTCAGTGCCTGGTTCTCAAGCTGACTCCAGCCACACTAAATATAGTCATAGAGTGACTAAATATACTAAATAACAAATTGACCAACCCTAGGGACAATTTTTTTGCTTTAATCCATACTGATTGCTAAGTTAATTGAGAAGTTGCACACATGCTCTGTGTAAATAAATTGCTATAAACTATACCTGAAGTATCACAGTACAAGGTCAAGAAGAAGCAAACAAACTATTGTACATAACAAAACCAGCAACAGGCCAGGATTAGTGTAACTGTTCACAGAGGGGAAGTTTCTTGATTGTATCCAGAACCAACATTTTACTGCATGTTAGTAATTCCATAACATGCCTATTACACACTGAACTTGAGGTCCAGCCAAGGCTGGAGGTCTGCTGAGCCCTGGACACTCACACAGAAAGGCACTCTTCCAGAAAGCTGCTGGCCAGCACAAGCAGGACAAGAAAAGGTTTTGTGAAAAGGAAAACACCACCCCACTTCACTAACGTGGACTTCAGACTCACAAAAGTGACCAAGTTATATACACTCAACCAGGGAGAACTGGCAAAGATGGACAGCCAATATTGTCCATCTTGGACAACATCCTCCAGAGCATCAACTTTGGGCTCAGATTTTTGCTTCTCGATTTTAGGCTTTGTGGTAGTTTCATTCTTCAGTGGAGAAGCAGATGTAGCAGAAATGCTGGCTGAGCACCTGCAGGACAAGCTCCTGCCCCACCTTCCCAACTGAGCTGCAGCACTGGGAAAACTCAGGAGCTCAACATGAGGAGAGGGGCCAGTGTGAGCAACACAAACTCCATCTGTCAGGACCACACCTCTCCGTACTTGTTTTCCTTTTGCTGCCTTGTGTTTAACATACTCTTCTTTGGCTGAATGCCTACAAAGCTCACGTTTCCAGGACCTTGTCCATGACCTGATGGCAGGTCTTAGATCTTAATGGTTCTGTCCTAAGCTCATAGAAGTGGGTCTGTTTTCTGTCCTTTTGCATGAGGTGCTGAATATGGTGATGATCTAAATTCAGTGTGGTTTCCCCCTTGCATCTGTCAAGCTATTTGTTTCCTTCCCACGAAGCAAGGAGCATGGACAGCATTTTGTTTGTCCTGCCACCTGTTTTCCAAGCCAGGACATTTATTTTTCACCCTTTCTCATGGAAGAATGACAAAAGTGTAACTCAGGCACAGAGCATGCCAAGCTGCTGAGCAAATCAAAAGAAATGGTTCAAAGAAGAGCCCTTCCAAGCAAAGGCTCCTTCCCTTCCGCTTCCCTCAGACACAGCCACGACCTCTCTCAGTGAATCATCTTTTCTTGGAGAGGTATCAAGGAGAACAATTTCAAACTACTGTTGAGAACCAGCTACTGGGCTGCCCCAGCTTTGAATCTGGCCACCAGAGAAACAGCCTTGGCAACCAAATATAAATAAGAGGAGGAAAACAAGACCTGTCTCCTGTTGCTTGGAAGCATGACAGCAGAGATGTAACTTATCTGCTTTAAAAGGCCATTTTTCAGGTGTGGAACTGATTCCCAGAGGACATTTAGAGAGCATTAAACACAACTGGAGCTCAGGTGATCCTATAAAATGATTGTGCAGTAGCAGCTCTGGATGCAGCAGTTTGCTACAAGTGGAAGAGCACAAGAGATTAATTGCACCTCTGATCTTGCATGTAGGTCCAGGTCTCCCTCTGCAAGGTCAGGCATGGAGCTGAAGTTCATGTTGTGCATGAGAAACAGGGCAAGCCTTTCTTTTTGCAGGCTGGCAGACCAGCAGCCAAAGGACCCCCTCCCTTCTTTTTTTTAATAATCTTTTCTATATAACCACATGGTCTCCCATATTCAGCACTCTGTCTTGCATGAAACAATTCCCAGGCCCCTGAGATGGCCACCCACAATCAATGCAGAAGGGTAAAGAGACCTTCCATCCCCACATGCCTGTTCTTTCACGCTGCCTTATTGGAAACAGCTTCTCAACTGCAGCAGGACAGAGAAGACAAACCATAAGATCCAAGGGTTGCCCTGGTATTTCTGCCTTTTTCTTTTTTCCTTTGGGTTGTTGTTTTTTTTCGACTAGCAGAGACCATCAAGAGCAATTGCACTTCACTGAAAAATTCACTGGAGTGTCTTTCCTGGGCTGGCCTGAGTGCTTGGCTCTCAGCAGCCAGCAGGCAATCCTGATGTGAACAGTACGTGCACACTCTGGGGTAACGCTCCACACGCGGGTTTGTTCTCTAAATGCCTTTGCTCCCTGCACAGCCAGACTGGATGCCAGAATTCATTTACAGTTTCAGCTATAAAACTGAATCCAGCAAACCCTCCGTAGAAGCAGACAAGTCCCCAGTGTAACAATAAAGCAGTGCAAGACAGATGAGGAACCTAAAGCACAGAAACCACAGCATCTGAGGGGCTCCCATCCAGCAGGAGGGGCTCTGCCAGAGCCTGTGTTTTCCCAGCCCCCAGCAGGGATGATGCCCTGAGCACAGGGCCTGGCTACGTGAGGCAGACAGAGCTGCCACCACAGTCTGTCTGTCCAATAGGGGATGAGGTACCTCAGGACATCCTTTGGAGCAACCTGGTGTCCCTGAGTCACTGCAGCTGAGAAGGGCTTTGCTTTATGCCACCCTCTGAGGTGGTGACCAGCCCTGGCACACTCACCCAGGCTGAGCTCAGCTTCAAAACCTCCCGGATCCTCCTCATCAGAATCTTCCTCCCCCTGACCCCCCTGCACAGGCCAGGGCAGCCCTGCAGCACTCGCCTACCAGGCCTGGCTGTTCCTGCTGGGCCAGGAGCTCTGCTGGCAAGGGGGAGAGCTGTTTGTTTTTCCTGTCTCTCGGTTCTAATCTCTTCCTCCCCGAGGTCAGGTCACAGACTTCCCAAACACATCCCGGCGCAGCAGCCGCCGCTTCACCGCTGCGGTTTTTGATTTCAAAGGATAAGGGCTGAGGTGCAGTGAGAACAGAGCCCCCCACCCTGCCTGCAAGTGCCTCCTTCTCCCTGTTTCAAGGGAGCAATATTGGTCAAAACAAAAATGACAAATGAGGCTGGAGGGTTGCTACAATTTCTGATGGCCATTTTTCTTCTTCCAGACTTGGCTCAGATCCCTCGGTTTTAAATTTAGTGACTTTAGATGCCTTCTCCCCTGTGGTCCTGTAACTCAACACGAGCCCTTTCTACAACCCATTAGAGCAGAGCAGGGGCTGGCAGCTCACAGAGACACAGGCATTAGCATAGGGAGCAGCACAATGCCTTGTGAAAGGATTTTCAACGTTGTGACACTCACAAAAGGCCAGGTATTTATAACAGGCAGGCCAGCAGAGTCCACAAGAATTCAGAGCTTCAAAAATACGCACGTTTGTACTCATTAAAATGTCACAAGCATTTCAAGTAGGTCAGTCCACCCTTACCATTGGGCCAGCTCTCCTTTGAACCAACCTGTGCAGAAGGATTCTAAATGATCCGGCAGAAACAACCTTCAGGAATCAAATCTTCCCTTCTACACTGATCCACAGTGGATTCAGGACTGTGTCCTAAGTTTAATGCACTGCAGCTCAGAGCTGTAGTTGTACCAAAACTGTTTTGAAGTGGAGTGGTTGTTTTGCAGCTTTCTGTGCTCTTCTGTGGGACAAGCCATGGCGAAGGCACTCAGCTCAGAGCTCAACTTTTCCCCAATGTGAGCTCTGGGTATTTTATCCAGAGTTTGCTTGGTATGTGCTTAGCAATAAAGTTAAAAGGGAGGCAACTAAGCTGAGGTATTAGGACTGTGCTGTGAACAGCTGAGTAAATGGGGTCTTTTATTTATCACCATGTTAGCGATATAAAATTGAAGCATAACCACACAGAAGGCTTAAGTGCAATAAATTTTCACAGAGACAGCATTTCAAACAGTGATTATGGGCAATGTCATAATATGATTTATCAGTAACTGCTCCTTAATGCAACCTAATGAGTATTCCCAGGGAGAAAGGGGGAACGAAACCCTCAGGCCAGTCTCCCTGGCAAAGCCAACAGCTCTTAGGAGGGCCAGCTGCATCCTTCCCTGCTGGAGCTCTGGTCTCAAACCCACACAGTCACTGCCAGGCCCTCCAGTTTATTTTAGGATGATTAGCTTATTACAGATGAATGAAACGTTAAGGTATTTTAGAGCGACACACGATCTGTGTGGTGCTGCTCCCAAGTCCACCAGCACAGCCACGTGCAACCCCAAAAGCAGCAGCTACAACTGGCCGAGTCCTCCCGTGGCTTTTTCTTAGGGCACTGGCATGCAAAGCTCAGCTGGCCACAGGCAAGGAGGGAGGAGTTCAAAGTATCTTCCTACAGAACTGAATTTTGGGTTTGGACACACAGCTTCAATGTTTAGATGTCCGAGAGATGCTGAAGAGCTGCAGCCTCAACACCAAACCCAGAGGCAAGGGAATTTATGTCTCACCTTCCAGGTCTTTCATGCTGCCCAACATTAAGTGATTTGATAGGAACATACTCATAATATCCCCCAAAATCTGAATGTTTATTTCCCCTCCCTTACTGAACTATTTTTGCACAGAAAAGTAGCTTTTAGACTGTGAAGGCAGAACATACTCATCAGACGTGCCCTCCTTATGGTGCCAGAAGTTATTTTCAGTCAAATGATGCACCAAATTTCTCTCTTCTCTCCTTGGATGGAGAGAATCTTCACCCAGACACCAACAGCCACTGATGCTACATGCCAGGGACCCCCCCAAGCTCTGTGCCATGTTGGTAACTTACTTTGCAAACTTGATACAGAACTGAGTGAAATACTTCCTGGTGGAGGCCAGGTTGTCACGGATGATGGGGACATTCTGTTTAATGTGGAGAATCACTGAGGTCACATAAGGACTCTGGTCACCAACATGTTCCACGTTCTGCCACTGCATCTGCACAAAGGGGAAAAAACAACCCAAACGACTGTTGAATTAATTAAGATTCAAGAAATAGGTGAGGAAAACTGTACAAACTTCCTGCAGAAAGATCCCTAAGGAGTCATCAAGAGACTGCCTCTGCAGCTCACCCCCGAGGTCAAGCTCTTTGTTACTACACTGATGGATCAAACCTTTCCACAACAAGATACAAAGAAATCCCAGAAGAGCCCTTTTTGCACCAGAACAGGGAGATTGTGACTGGTGACCTACACAAATGGGGACCACTCTGATTAAAAGGCTTTTGGAGCAGGCCAGACTGCTCCATATTTAACAGTTTCCAGTTTGCTGGGATGAAGTGCCCCCATATAAATCCTGATTACAGGCATTTGAGAAAATATCTGCAAGCTTGCAAAGTCTGGATTCCTGTATGGCAGCCAAGACTGCAATTCTGGTGAGACTGATGACAGATGGAAGAGGTAGAAATAGTCTTGAAGTCCCAAGCACTCTACCCCAGCATAGCTCACCCTGAAAACACTTCTGGTGTACAAGCCAGGATGCCAACTTCAGCTGAACCCAAACACAGGTAAAAAGTACAAACCAAGAAGAGTTACTCAACCTCCCATTTTCTTTTCATTTACCATCAGCAGAGACACAACAGAGCAGCCCTTTGGGCCAGACACGGGACTCCCTTGACTTCCTCTGAGCCTTCTTTGCAATACACAGAAGTCATGTGGGGGAAAAAAAAAAAAGAGGAGGTAACTAGGTAAGGCCTGGCCAAGCATCTGTGTATATAACAAGGTCTCACTGAGGAACACAAGCATCCAGAAAAGTGCTCTTAGCTCTGCTGCTGTTCAGAGATACATGCTCTGCAACATGCTCCAACTGTCTGGAGATGCTGCTCCTCATGCTGGAGATGAAACTGGAGAAAAATGAGTACAAAATCAGGACAGGAAACTAGGCACATGCATAAG